ATCAATCTTTTTCATTATGGTTGTACCTTTTGTGTCATACTTAGAAAGGCCTTCTCTACCTCAAGATTATATGAATTGCCTATAGTCTCTTCTAATACTTTAAAATTATACGTTTAACCTATCTGGAATATAACTGGGTATAAGATATAGGGAAGAAATCTAACTTTAATCTTTTTTTTTTAATGAGTTGGCCACTTGTACCAATACCACCTACTAAATAACTCATGGTGAAAATATCACCGTCATGCTAAATATTTAAAACATATTTATAAGTTTATGGACATTCTACTTTGATCCATTAATCTGTCTATATTAGTATTGCTACCTCAATATTTTAATTACTATAGATTTAATTTCAATGTCTAGTGAGTCCCCTCATTATGTCTGCTCTACAATATTTGCCTGTCAAAGTTTTAATCATGTAGATTAAAACATAAAGACTATGACAATTTTATTAATAACATCCTGCATATATTTTGAGTGGCATACTCACAGAACTCTTTTAAAATGTCCCTCTCCAAAAGGAACAAAGGGGCTCTGAGTAGTCAGGGAGCACAGCAACAATTGATCAAAAGAACAAAACAAAAAGGTGTGGGAAAAGAAGGGAGCTTTTCCTCTCTCGTATTTTCTATGGCCTCCACTCCCTTCACTCCACTTCAGATCCTCATCAACTTAAATACAGCAAGCATGTTTAGAAATCAGCCTACCCATAAATGGTTAAAATACAACTTTTTTCTCAAACCAATAGTGACATTAAATATATAAAGAAAAAAACAACCTCATTTTGAGATTTCCACTTTCAACCAGAATGAAGTTCAATAATATGTATAAGAATATAAAAATATTCATCACCTAAAAAGGTAAACTTCATAATATCTGGCATCTAATCAAATACTACTAGGCATTCAAAGGAGCAGAAAAATATGGCTCATAGTGAGAAAACAGAAATCAATTATTGAAAGAGGAGTATTGATATTATACATAGACATTAGAATTAAAAACAGCAATCCTCATGGACAAAAAGTTAAATAGAAACATAGAAGATTTTTTTGAAAGACCCAAATTAAATTTCTAGAGATGAAAAATACACAGAATGGAATTAATGTCAGAAGAAGAGATTAATGCATTTGAAGACATAGTAATGGAAACTATCTAATATGAAAACACACAGAGGAAGAAAACTTAAAAAGAAAAAAGAGTATCAGTAAACTATGGGACAATTTCAAACATTCTAATATATGTGTAACTGGAGTTTACAAAAGGGAGAAGAGAAAACAGAAAAATATTTGAAGAAAGTATGTCTGAAATGTTTTCAAATTTGATGAAAACTATAAACCGCACACATCCAAGGAGCTCAATGAACCCAAAACAAAAGAAACAGGACTAAAACTATACATCACAATGAATAGTTCAAAATCAGTAATAAAAAGAAAACCTTAAAAGCAGACAGAGAAAAAAGGCATCATATACAGAGGAACAAAGCTAAGGATAACAGCAAATTTCTTATGAAAATAATGCAACACAGAAGACAATGAAAAAACATCTTTAGAGCACTAAAAGAAAACAAAAACTATTACCCCAGAGAAACCACCCTTGAAAAATAAAATTTATAAACTGACTTTTTCAGACATATAAGAGCTGAGAGATATAATCAGCCACGACCCACACTACAAGAAATGTTAAAGGAAGTCCTTCTGGTAGAAGGAATATGATACCATATGAAAATATGAGTTGAAACCAAGGAACAGGAACATAGATAATGGTAACTGCAGGGGTAAATAAATAAGAGTTTCTCTTATTATTTAAGTCTTTTTAAAGGCCATTGACTGTTTAAATAAAAACAGAAATTTAGTGTGGGGTTTATAACATATGTATAAATAAAATATATAACAATAGAAATGCTGTGAGGAGAGAAATTTCAGTATAATACTGTAAAGTTCTTACACTGTATGTGAAGTGGTAGTATAATGTCACTTGAAGGTAGATATGATACTTCAGATATTACACAATAAATTCTAAGGTAGTCACTAAAATCATAAAATAAAAATGCTGTGACTAATAAGACAACAAAGGAGAAAAAAATTGAATCATAAAAAATAATCCAAAAGAAGACAAAAAGAGAGCAAAAGGGGCACCGAGAAAAGAAGAAACAAGAAACAAATAGTAAGATGACAGACTTCAATCTAACCTTATCCATAATCGCATTTAATATAAATGGTCTGAACACCCCAAATAAAAGCGGAAAATGTCAGACTGATAAAAAAAACAAGATTAAAAACTATATGCTGCCTATTAGAAACACACTTGAAATATAAAGACACAAGTAGATTAAAAGTAAAAGAAAGGAAGATATATTGTGTTTACCATGCTAACAGTAATCAAAAGGAAGATGAAGTGGCTATGTTAATAACAAAGAATATTACCAGGGACAAAAATGTCATTTCATAATGATAGAAGGATCAATTAATCAAGAGGACAGAGTAATCTCAAATGTTTAAGCACCAAATACAGAGCTTCAAAATGCACAAAGCAAAGCTGATAGAACCCTCTGCCCGACCCCTCACCCCTGGCGACCACTCATCTGTTCCCTGTCTCTGTCATTTTGTCATGATCAGAGTGTTATATAAATGGAACCATACAGATTCCATGTTAAGAATCTTTTAAGACTTTCCTTTTGACAACTTATTTCCAGATAAAAATGGTTGATCAGAGGTGAGAGACCGAGGCCCTCTCGGGTCTTTCCTGGGCATGCGCATAGCCCTGCACATGCGCAGAGCCTTCTAATCCCCTAGGAATATGTCAGAGTTTTTCAAAGCCGCCTATGGACATCTTTTTTCCCATATCTTCCCTTTAAGTTTTTGGCCAGGTTTTATTTGCCCAACTGGTATTGCCCCTCAGAAGCTGCAATGCTAAACAATTGCCACTGAATTGTTTTTGACAAACACCCTGGGGGTAGGGCTTTTCCCACAGAGCAAGTGCTGAGCTCCTAATCAGATCAAAGAACAACAATGCCCTGCAAATGAGACTTTTCCAAAAAGCTCCGTGAGATAGGTCAAACAGGGACAATGCTCTGGGAACGAGACTTTCTGAGGATCTTCCAACCAGGCCTGCCCTGTCCAACGTTTGCAAGGCTGCTGGTTTTTACAAGTACCATGTTTGCAAGACTGCTGGTTTTCAAGGCCACTGCAGAGCCAAGTAGAGGGAAATGGGAGTAGTTCAAGTTACAATGCCACAAACCCTGCTGTTCCTAATGAGATTCAGCAGATTTTCTTGAATAAACACTCCTCAGACGCTTGGAAGTCTTTGGCTAATTTCAGGGGTTCTGAAAAAGCTGATTTTGACCACCTTTGCCAGTGTTTTCATTGCTTTTATAGAGGGGTGGCTTTACCCTCACTGAACTTTGAAGGCTCAGTATGAAGAAAAGACCTTCTATTACTATAATACCTCTGATAAATTCCTTAGTCTATATTGGTATTAGGCACACAAAATTGCTTGTAACTATAAATTAAAGGTCTATCAAAGTTAAAGAGTTTTCATTTAAATTTGGAAAACCCTGGGTCATCTCATAGGCTAGCTCCTTGCCCACCAGGCTTGGAAGCTTCATCTTTTTCTACCTTCCACTCTCTTTTACCTGCATCTAGTACAGCTAAAGAACAGCTAAATTAATTAGGAAAGAAAAAATCTGCTTTTAGAGTAGTAGGAAAGAATCAGAAAAGAGGGGGAAGTGTAAAGAAGGCTCCTCATCTATAAGCCTATTTTTAACTGATGTCTATTTCTTCAACAATGTCAGCATAAAAAGAACACTGGACCTGGAGCCAGAGAGGTCCATATTCCAATCCCAGCTCCTCTCCTTATTCAGCAACGTGACCCTGGGCAAGATACTAAACTTCTCTGTGCCTCAGTTGCTTCATCTATAAAATAGGCATAATAATAATTATTTTATAGCTTTCTGCTAGATTGAAATGAAATGTATGTGAAGGT